GGAGCGCACTGGTGGCGTCAATCCTGAATCCTCCGCTGATGGTCGGGCGCTTGAGGGACCGTAGATAACGATGGCAGGTGATCTCCAGTGGGAGGAGGGAAAGCTGGGGCTGTATTGATGCGTTGGGATGGTCGATCGCTTCCACAGATCGCTTCGCTTCGCTGCCTTCGTTGCCCGTTTCCGAGTCCGGCCAGACTCCCGTCGCGCCCTGCCGCGGGACGCGTGCCTGGCTCCGCCCCTGGCGCCCCGCGGGCTCCGCCGTCCCTGCCGCTGGGAAGCGGGATAGTACGCAGTGGGCGACGACGGGATCCGGTGCCCAAAACCGGTAGCCATCCCTGCAGGCTGGGATCCAGCTGCACGTACCGGGATCCGTCTCCACCGACCAGGATCCTGCTACTCAAGACTGGGGTCCGCCCGGATATAGACCGCGCGAGCCTGGCGCCACCTCCAGACTAGGGTAAGCCGCACAGGCTGATCCGAGCTGAAACAAACGGCTGAGGGAGACTGTGATCCAAGGCGCAAAGCGTCACCGACGGTGCCTTTTCAGACTCATCACTATCTTGACAAGTGTTAGTGCTAATGTGCTAATAAGTAGCATTTAACAACTTGCTCCCGCGATGAGTTATTCCCTCGAGTTGTGTCCGCGATTGAGATATGAGAAAGTCTGAGCACGCTTCGCATTCATGTCGCACGGTTTGTAAGACATGGCCGGCTGTATTTGTGTAATAAAACGTTAATGAACACTTGCGAGGCAGCTCTAAGTGATAGACCAGTTGCCGACAATTTCCGGTGACAGCTCTGATAGCCACCAAACAAGACGTCACTTTAATCGAACTCGCCTTTGTGCCAGACCAAAGCCAGAACTTTCTTACCAAGCGCGTCAGAGAGCGCCAAAGATATTTGGGCTTTGTTTGGTTATTTTGATTGATTTGATTTTTTCGACCAGTTATGACCATTTCAGGGCTATGAGATAAAGGAGAGTGGATAACGGTGGGGCATGACCACATGCGTCTGGGGGCCAACCGCCTAGCCTACGGAGCCTAGCCCGCGTAGGGACCCCTCTGCGGGATACGCGCCGGGCGCCCGGTCGTGGTGCCCTCCAGGACGCCTCTCGGCCCACTCGTGGCTGGCGTATTTTGATCTTGGATGTTCTACGTGGGTGTAAGTGCCCTGTAACAGGAGCTAATGTGTAGACCGCCAGGCATTCATCGAGCTTTGCGCGCTGGGTCACCCAAGATCAAGATTTAGAAGGCGTTGGGCTGTTGGATGAAATACGCTCCTATAGATAGCTGTAAATGCCTCTGAGTTTCATGCAATGTTAGCGCCATTGCATGTTTCAAGTGCATCTACCGGTACCGGTACCAGTCTACCGGTACATTCGTGTTTTTTTTTCTCACAGGTCGAATAGCACCTGCTTCTCTTAATTCGAAACATGAGTTGGTGTTTTCTTGTTGTTTTCTCTCTTGGTGTTTTCTCTCTTGAAAACACTCTTGGTGTTTTCCATTGCGAATAACGATGCTACTTATGATTTTATCAATGGTGAAAATAATCGAATTACTCCTTGTAATGTCAATACATTTATTTTTAATTTTCATGCCTGTTCAGAAAGCAGGATCTTTGTGGCCTGACCAGACCTGTGACCTGACCTGTCCGATGGCACACAGCGACAGAGGGAGGACGATGGGAGCGTTGTCTGCGGCTCTGGACTGTAGCTGCTTCGCTAGCTTTCCGATGACACCGGACGGCGATCAGTCGGAGCCCTACCTAAACCGCGGATTCGCATGAATTGTAGTTTTGTTACTTGGAACAAATGCTTGAACAACAACCACTGCTCCACAACTCCTGCTTTCCTTTCTTATCCCGGCGCATTTGTGCTACGCGGTTTCTGTTTCCCGAGATTCTAATTGGTTCTTTCCGGGGAATGAATGGAAATGATTGGACGAACCGTCTGTGACGTGTGCAACCTTCACGGAGTCGCCATCGACTCCTGCCCAGTGGAATGCCAAGTCAAAACAATGCCGAGTCAGCTGATATTGGTAAACAAACCATGAGCTTTCAAGGTCTGGTGGCAAAGCTACACACACACAAATCCCATTGGCTTTTCAGAAGTCGTCTTGTGACTTTTTACAGTCAAACTCACTCATGTTTTTCTTTTCCAATCAGAGCTTTTCAACAACTTCCGGAGCAATGACTCGTTGATATCGTGCGCGAGACTAGGTGAGTGGCGAGATAATATATATATATATATATATATATATGTAATCTATATTTATATATACATATATATATATATACTATCTACATGCATATATATATATATATATATATATACATATGTCGACACATTTGCTTACCGTTTTCGTACGTTCTCATGGGGCAAACCACACACTGATTACTGGATTGTTTGTGCACGAACCCAAACGCTGTTCAGTCACTACAACTAGATAGATCTCCCGTCTTTCATGCAAGGTTATCAATTATATGGTGTTGTGTGGGGCTTGCTCGTCTACCGATCTTGCCCATTAATGAAATATATTTTTGGAAACTGACGCACGCCATGAATCTTGAACTGCTTAACAAGATTTTTGCAGCGCACAGACGTTTTTTAAAATCATACATGGTAATCATGTAGACAGTGGTCAGTGGTGAGCCGTCTGCAATGCATTAAAGCAATTGGGTAGGCTGCTTAAGTGCACATAAGTTACGAACAACAAGATCATGGATCTCTGCGCAATAACTGGGAGTTCAACGACGCAGAGACAGCTGTCTGCTTCGAGACTTGGTGATTCGGTGGTTTCGATAAACTTCCAGTTTCGAAAAACAGTTTATTCGGCTGTTTTTCTATCCGCAAAATATGCATTGTGATCGCCGATATGCGGTTATGGTATTGACAAAGACGGAAACTAAGCTCTTTTTCTGCCGCACACATATTTACCCTGCCATCAGTTCAGGCTTGGCACATCACTTGTAAACAAGTGGTGGGCAAAGCGACATTCACAAGCGTTTAGCGAGCACATCTGCCGAACGCTGATAGCGTGTTCCTATCATGCCCTCAGAGCCCAACTGGCGTTTGATGCGGCTGTCAAGATATCACGCCTGGTAACACCGTGAAGGGCGACGCTGCCACTTGTGTGTGCTATGCTGCCACACTTATAAGAATAGATTCGTTTTTTTCTGTCTGGAGGGTCCTGCGCTCTGTAAACGGTTTGAGCTCTTAAGGTGGTATGGGGCCCGTACCTCCCTGGACTTCAGACTGAGTGTGTTTATTGAAGAACGGTCGCCGAAAGAGATACTTTCTGCTTTGTTTTTAGCTTCTCGCAGGCGTTGACAATATCTCAAACGAATATGGCACATGGTCTCCCCGACATAGGCTATGCTCCTCCTTTGTTTTGTACACAGTTAACACTTAATTTCGTGAACCACGTCTTTTTTTCGTGTGCAAAGCCTTGAAGTACTGAACTACATAAATAGCACGTGTTGTTCCTGAGGCACTCATGATTCGAGATAGAAGATGTCACCAGGCGCTCTGTCAGCTTCTTGTCGTTCCTCCAAGCTGTACGTTCGCACAGCTTTGATTTCCAAACGATGTGTCCGATTTAATTTGTGTACGGTGAACCTAAGAATCTGTTGTCCAACAGGTCATGTCCCTGTTTCGCACCACCCATCCCCCACGTGTTCCAGTTTTGTTTTACCTCTTCCAACATTCTACCTAAAGGCCACGGAGATTATCCATTGGCAAACAGCAAAGTTTATGTTTCGCTTACGCTCTTACTTTCTTTTCATTACTTGATGGGTTGCTTAGAGCCCTATGAAACATGTTACAAAATGTGCTGTGCTTAGTGGAAGTTGGGTGCGCCTGTTGGATCCGTCCTGCTTCGTGACGTCACCTGACACGCAGCACAGCCGCTGCCACCGGTCGGAGGCCGTCCCAGAAAACTTCAGTCATTTTTTGTTGAGGTGGCAAGAACTCACCTATGACCTCATTATAAAAAGTCTGCACGGTGGAAATCTAAACATTCGGTGTTTTCATGGCGCATTCTTGGCTCTGTGTACCGGACCTTGGTGTCTAGCAGCTGCGAAGTTATGAAATAGATGCATGATGAACATCATCAGTGGCTCTGACCTTTGAAAAAAGTCGTTCTTATTCAAGGCAGCATGAAGCCATGTTTTAAAAGTTGTTGCCAATTTGCTGCACGACGTCGTTAAATCAGAGACGAAAATGTTGGCTTTGATAACGTAAACCGTTTCAAAATGATATCGAAATAAGTCGTGAAAGTGTTTCAAACTAATGCCAATGAACATTTGCGTGTATCAATATCATCACCGTTTATGAAGACGCCGAATGCAAGGTCACTCAACTTCAATATCACTAGGTTACCTCACGTCACCTGTGAGAGGTGATTGTTATATGCTTTGCTAAATGTTATAGCTATAAGCTTCAGCTAAATCTACCTTCTCCGCGGATTTACAAAACAAGCTGCGATGAGCTGGAAATCGCATGATTTGGTCTTGCTCCACCCGACGTGACAAAGCGGCCTCAAGAGACGGTGTTTAATGACATTTGCAAAAGTGACAGGTCTAGCATATACGTACCGTCATCACTGCTTTGATTTGATTCTTGTCTATCCCGCATGGTATGGGTCTGGCAGAGGGCCTCGCGCCCATGCCGGGAAGGCGGCCAAACACTTACGGAGGGCCTCACGCCCGTACCGGGTAATGTGGCCAAGCACATACGAGAGGCCTCACGCCCGTACCGGGGAAGGTGGCCAAGCACGTGCAAAAGGCCTCACGCCCGTACTGGGTGAGGTGGCCAGGCACGTGCGAAGCTAGCGTCGGACATTTGAATCTGGCATTGTAGGACGGCGTTTTAACTCGTGGCATGTTGCTCCAGCCGCCGTCATGCCGGGGATAACAGAATCGCTGCTGGACGGCGTCCTGTCGGTGCTGCCGGACGTGCGCGCCCTGCCGCTGCCGCACGTGCTGCTGCTGCTGCTACTGCTGCTGCTGTTGCCGCTGCTGCTGCTGCTGTACAGGGCGTCGTCCGGTGGCGGAGCGGGGATCGGCGGATTGCCGCGGCCCAAGCCTATGTACCCGCTCATCGGCTCGGCCCTCCTGATGCCCAGCGACATGACAGGTGAGGAATAGGACCGGTGAGAAGGACGGGCGATGAGGACTGGTGGAGAGGACCGGTGGGGGGGACCCATGGGAAGCACTGGTGGGGAGGACCAGTGAGAAGCACTGGTGTGAAGACCGGTAAGGAGGAGCACCGGTGAGGAGGACTGGCGAGGAGGACTAGTGGGGAGGACTGGTGGGGAGACCGATGGGGAGAAATGGTGGGGAGGACCGATGAGAAGGACTGGTAAGAAGCACTGGTTGGAAGGCTGGTAAAGAGGAGCACCGATGAGGAGGACTGGTGAGGAACTCCGGCGGGAGGACTGATGGGGTGGATCGATGGGAAGGACCGATAGGGAGGACTGGTGAGAAGCACTGATGGGAAGACTGGTACAGAGGAGCACCGATGAGGAGGACTGGTGAGGAACTCCGGCGGGAGGACTGGTGAGGAGGACTGCTGACGTGACAGGTTCCGGCTGACACGGCTTTGGCCCGGACAGGCTCGGTTTCGGACACAGAAGGTGTTAGACCGGTGACGCTGCGGAGTAAGATGCCGATTCGAACTGCATCTACGCGTTAGATGTTCTGAACGTCCCAGTGCTTGTTCTGGATTCCACTCCGCGGCTCGTCATATTTAGAAGGGTTCGTTTTTTAAATAGTTTGTGTGGATGGATGTGGATCAGAAATACGTGTTATAGAGCATTACCGGCATCTGCTTAGGCACCGTAGCCGTGATACTGACATACAAAACAAATTAAAATCTACTAGCGATGTGAGTTGTTCGGTGCAATAGCGGGGAACATTATTTACATACATAGGACACTAGTATTAGCCTCATTCCCCGGAACAAAACCAGGAGAATGGAGATGTAGTTGGGTTGATATTTCGGCAACATGCCTTTATCGGAACAATAGCAGAAGTGACTTCTGCTATTCAGATGAACTTCTGCTATTGTTTCAATAAAGGCATGTTGCCGAAACATCAACCCAACTATATCTCCATTCTCCTGTTTTTTTTCCGATGAATATGGCCATTACTATTGTCTCATTTATTAATGATGTAATGACAACAGTAATGTTATAGTAATACTAAATGATGTGTCTAAAAATAACGCAGGCGGCGATTACTATGATCTGCAGGAGAAAGTGGCTGAAATGGATGGAATAACATTGGAAAACATTTTCAGGGGAAGTTCCATTCGAAGACCGAACTATGACGATTCTTAATCCAAATCCTGATTTTTTTTTTAGAAATTCTCAACGTTTTGATGGGGTGGAGCAAGGAGTTCCAAGGATGTTTTCACTTGAAGCTGGGCTCCGACTACGTCATCATCAACACACCAGAAGCAGCCGAGGTAAATAACGTCACTGAGAGGATGTTTTCGTGAGATGTGGGGCGTAATCAGCCATTATTGTGCCTGATCACTACGTGATCATCACTACATCACTACATCCTTGTGCCTTCTGCTACGAAATATATTTCGAAGTTCTCAACCAATTGCGCGGAATCCTGCACTTGCTCGAAACCACGTGGTGCAACCTTAAGGGACTGTTCCAGTTTGCATGTGGTTTTGAACTGATACGACCGTCTTGAAGATCATTCGGTTGTCATGCTAAATGCTTGTTGCGTTAGTTCCGGGTCCGTTCTTTTGAGCTGTTGGTTTTCTGTCGGCCCCTAACCGTCAGTCCAACTCTCCGAGTGCCTGGCGTTGTTACAGGTGGTGTTGAGCAGCAACCAGCACATTCAGAAGGGCGAAGAGTACGACGGCTTGAAACCGTGGTTGGGTGACGGACTACTGATCAGCGCAGGTGGGCTCGAATCCCAGTCGTTCCCAAAATATTTGGTCATGAAACATACTTATTTAATCAAGTCGGGGGATGAAAAGGATTTCGTCAGAAATTGACTGCACCTATTGATAGTTCCCAGATAGACTATCAGCTTCAGAGGAGTCATGCGACTGTCCAGTCGTCTGAGCATCGAGAATCGCGGATGTGCGCGCCAGTACGGTCGCGCTACACAACGGCTACATACATACCTGGTTATGTAAAAGTGGTTGAATATTTAACCGTAAGACTATTGTGAAGGGCGTTGCTGGCCAGCGGTTGGATGCTGGCTTTTTGTTCTGGCTGCCATTCGTGGGTATGATTAACCATCTCGAGGAAAGATATTCTCAGATATTAGATATATAAGATATTCTCGATATATTCACACATAAAAACCCATGCTCTCAGACAGAGAAAGGGCTCAGGCGTCACATCGAGAGAAATGTTGATGGCTCGCAGAAGAGTGGTCGAAATAATGATCCTTCCCACCAGGCTCCAAGTGGCACAAGAGGAGGAAGATGCTGACGCCTGCCTTCCACTTCTCCATCCTGGACCAGTTCATGACGGCCTTCAACGAGCAGTCGAAAGTGCTTGTATCTAAACTGCGAGAAACGAACGGCCAAAGGACCGACGTCTTTCCCTACATCACCAAGGCAACGCTGGACATTATCTGTGGTGGGTTCCAAACGCTGGACATTATCTGTGGTGGGTTCCAAACGTGACCGTGCAAGCGCACGCGAGGTGATCTACCATGGGGTTCCTCGTTCGAGGTGATCTACCATGGGGTTCCTCGTTCGAGGTGATCTACTATGGGGTTCCTCGTTATTTTGCGTGATGACGTGCCATGAACCAAAGACGTATTACAGCAATTCCATGTCTTGTACCTTGGTTACGATTAATGACGTCTGAAGAGTCTGGGTGAGTTGAGTTCTCAGAACAAGAGATCCGAGATATTTGGCTGTAAGACGTCGAGTATACTCTGTGATCTCATGTCAAAGAAAGTGTCGCATTTTTGCGTGGCCCTATAGGTTAGAGAGTATCTGGCTGCGTGGTTATGAGATAGGAGAACAAAATAGTTGCTGGTTGTCGCCCAGGATGCTGTTCGTTCCGGTTGCATATCATGTGTGATATCGTAAGTGGTGCCGACACAGAAGCGGCTCCGACACCAGCGGGCTCCGCCCCTAGCGGGCTCCGACAGGTCGTCGGATGTCCTGCTGCGCCCTCTGCGCTGGGCGTGCTTTGCGGTCGGGGCCAGTAGCGGCATTGGAATGGAGGGTGGTCTTTTCCACTGTGCCAGAGGCCCCACGCTGATCTAGAGGCCCTCATTGACCCAGAGACCCTCAATGACTCGGGGGCCCTCAATGATCCAGAGACTCTCAATAACCCAAGGGCCCTCACTGACCCAGAGGTCCTCAATGACCCAGAGGCCCTCAATGACCCTGTGGTCCTCATTGTCTCAAAGATATCACTGGTCCAGAGGCATGTTCCAGAGGCTCTCTGTCTCAGGGGCCTCTCCCTCCTGCCCCAGAGGTCAATCCCTCACCGTCAGTCAGTCCAAGAGGCCACTCACTGACCCAGAGACTCTTACTGGTCCGCTGGCCGTCATTGTCCGAAAGACGGTCACTTTCTGACAGACCTCCGCTGTCACTAGGGTCCCTCGTATGCCAACGATTGATGCCTGCGCTGTCCCTGGGGTCCCTCGTATGCCAACGATTGATGATGAATAATGACGTGGGCAGAGTTCAAGCTTTCTGTGTTATCGAATTGTTCAACAATAAAATGCAAAAAGGTGGTGCAGGATGACTCCACTGTCAGTGCCCATAACATTAAATTAGTGATGGGAGAAACGAACTAAGTGTTGTTTATCGACGAGACAGCCTGGCTGGCTTATGTGAAAGTTGTCTTTCATGGTCTTTGCTGTCCACTGACGCGCTAATACCCGACCGACTTTCGGTGGATCGAAGTCCGTTCGCCTTGATGCGGTCTTCGCTATCTTCGCACCGGGCAGGGTTTCGGTGTAGTTTTTAAAGCGATCGATACAGTCCGACATAAAACTGCCTCCAGTATTCCGCATTGCATGGCAATTTCTCGCGGAATTAAAAAAAACCGGAAAGGTTCCAGAAACCTTCCCGTACTGTTCATGTTTTCTGAGAGAGGCCAGAGCGTGTATGGGGTCTGGGTTACCGCCGTCACTCTGCCCCGTATCCGCAGAGGCCACCATGGGGGTGCAGATTAAGGCGCAGCAGGGCGCCCGCTCCGACTATGTTCGGGCTGTGTACAGGTGAGGTACGCTCCAACTATATCCGGGCTGTGTACAGGTGAGGAACGCTCCGACTACGTCCGGGCTGTGTACAGGTGAGGTACGCTCCGACTATGCCCGGGCTGTGTACAGGTGAGGTACGCTCCGACTATGTTCGGACTGTGTACAGGTGAGGTACACTCCGACTATGTCCGGGCCGTGTACAGGTGAGGTACGCTCCAACTATGTCCGGGCCGTGTACAGGTGAGGTACGCTCCAACTATGTCCGGGCCGTGTACAGGTGAGGTACGCTCCAACTATGTCCGGGCCGTGTACAGGTGAGGTACGCTCCAACTATGTCCGGGCTGTGTACAGGTGAGGTACGCTTCAACTATGTCCGGGCCGTGTACAGGTGAGGTACGCTCCAACTATGTCCGGGCTGTGTACAGGTGAGGTACGCTCCGACTATGTCCGGGCTGTGTACAGGTGAGGTACGCTTCGACTATGTCCGGGCTGTGTACAGGTGAGGTACGCTCCAAGTATGTCCGGGCCATGTACAGGTGAGGTGCGCTCCAACTATGTCCGGGCTGTGTACAGGTGAGGTACGCTCCGACTATGTCCGGGCCGTGTACAGGTGAGGTGACGGGTCTTCTGATAGCTGATACTGACAACCGTCCGCATGATGTGACGCCTTATCACATCATGGGTGATAAGCTATCGGTCACGGGCCGCCGATTACAGATTCCGGATGCCGGCTCCCGGATCATGGATCCCAGATTCGGATCCCGATTCCAGGATCCGGATCCAGTACCCCAAGTGTCACAACCCAGATCCCAGATCCCGGATCCTCGAGGATCCCGGATCCAGAGGGATCCTAGATCCCGGGTCCTTGAGGATCCCAGATACAGAGGGATCCCAGATCCCGGAGGATCCCGGAGCCCGGATCGCGGATTATACCCGGGGAGGAAGGAGGAGGGACATAGCTCAGTCTGTGGCATTTCGGACCTCCGCGTGATATGCTCGGGTTAGTTTCCCGGCTGAAGACTGGGACGCGACCAGTCTTTCTTGGAGCTCGATCATAAATCAGTCTTGTAACAATTCCCATTAGGTTGAGGGTGCATGCCACGGGTCACAGGTACCGGGGTCACAGAAATGGGTCACATGTCACAGAGGCCACATAAGTAATGGGTCTGGCGGTTGACCCTGGTCCAGGTCACAGATGCAGGCGGCAGATCACAGATAACCGTTTAAGGTCACGGTCACGGGGCACAGAGAATGGCTCACAGATCGATTGATCACACAGATCACATATTGATTGACGCAGATCACAGATCGACGACGCGTCACCGACTCGCAGACATTCGATCATTACTGACCACGGCTTTAAGTGCGCATGTCGCAGATTACCAGTCGGAGGTCATGGTTCACAGCTCCCAGGCTAATGACCACTGGCCGGAGGTCATGATCCACGGGCTCAGGATCAATGCGGTGGCGTGGTGCTGCTGCGCCCGCTGTTTTCTGATCCATTCGCAGCCTCAGCAGCCGTGCAATGGCGCTCCCGGTGACAGCTGTGAGTCCAACCATTGTTCGGATTGTGTGGTCGCCCAGAGACAGCGGAACGTTCACATTTCAAAAGATAAGAGTCACCGAAGCAACGCTGGCATATCTCGAAGGCTGACACATTCCTGCATCTGGGCATGGAAGGAGGTGTTTCACATTTGCGTGAGGTGTCGAGAGACAACGTTTTTGAGATATTTTTAGAGAGAGATAATCATTCTCAGGATCATTGGTTACAGTCCACAGTCATGCCATTTTGAAGGCTTCAAACCCTCTTGTTTTTTGAGGCAGGCGCATCCCAACTTGTCCAGCCTATTTCGTGCCACCTATCTGAATGACACCCAGACAGGTATGACACGATAGAAACGTCATGCAAACGCCCCCCCCCCCCCCCCACCTCATTGGCATTATTGAACTAATGGTAGTGAAAGGCAAGGCCACTTTATATTCGTGTATATGTTTAAAAGCATAACTCATACAATTGAAAAACATGCAAAATAATGATGACAAAAATAATTATCAAAATTCATACAACAAAAAACAAATTATTATGACCTCGTTAATATAAGATGTACGTTAGTTTTCACGATCAGCCTCAATATGTTGTGTGTGAGTGTCGTTTTTGATACCGTTCTGCCGCCCGTAAATAGCTGTAGCGCTCTACTAATCAACGATGTTTTCAGAATGGGCGAGATCTCCTTTTTCCGCTTCTTGAAGCCATGGCTCAGAAGTGATTTCCTGTTTCGTCGGACTTCGTTGTACCAATCCCAACAAGAATGTCTAAAGCTTCTTCACGGGTTCACAGATTCGGTGAGCAATTTCCAAACTTTGGCTAAAAAACTCGACTGATGATCATAGGCAAAAACACGGGAGGCAACGCCCCGATTTCAAATGCCTTGCGTACGATACGCGCAGGAAGGTGTTGTGTTAAAATGACACATTCCGTCAGATCCTCCACAAAACACGTGGGCTGTTTAACATGCGTCTTAATTATTGTCGCAACACCCAGGATCTTTTCAACAACCAACTTGAAAACAACTTGTGTCAATCTCGAGTGACGTAGGGCGCATAATTTCAACCTGCTGAAACACCGTCACATTCAAACTGAACCTGACTACGAAACAGGAATCTGTCAGCTCTGAACAGCCTCGACACGAGTGCTGTGTCTGTGTGTGAAGATAAACAAGCCTTCATCACGCAACTTGACCCGCGCAGCTAATATGTTATGCTGAAGGGCTTACGATCGCGTTCGCAACTGGTTGCCTCACCGAGTAGTGCCAAAGCGTTCCCTGGCGCTGCCTGTCTGCGCAAGGATGTTTCTTGCTTAGCGAACAGCTCACATCATTGGTGTTGTTTTCTGCGTTATTGTCTTATTGTTTCTGACTTATTATCTCTGCCCGTGAGCTGCCGTGCGCACGGTGTTTTCACCCGCAACATGTGATAAGCCGCTGGGTTGTGGCTGACCGGAGCGGTCTTGATCAGGTGATTCAGTCCAGGAGAGAGGAGCTAAGCAAGTCAAAAGACGCGTCCGAAACTCCACAGACGTCACCACAAGGTACCTGCAGCGTTTTTATAACGTAACATATCGACACTGGCTTGCCGCTCTCACAAAAAAATATCGGCTCAAGTGCGGTGCCTCTTCCATCTCTCAGTGCTGCTGTGTTTTATCGGGTTCAACAAAACGCGTTTAAACAGAGATCGTGTTCCATGTGTCGTTTGACGACTCACTGTTGTGCTTAGATTCGTCGTTAAGCGTAGGTCACCGAGGCCACGGGAAACTCTTAGCCCTGTATTCATGTGACTGGAGATGGGAAGCGGTATTGCCCTGAAGTCTTAGCCCTGCAGCACCGGGAATTCAAACGTGCGACGCGCGTTTCGAATGCCGCCACCCATAGTACGGATTTCCCCGTCCCATCTAGGAAATGCGGTGCCTTTGACGGGGATCGAACCCACCCGAGGCCTTGAATCAACTCGACTTTCTTCGACCCTAGCTATAAGCCGCCATCGGCGCTTTGACCGCTACACCGCTACCGTAGCGGCCCGGCGGTGTAGCTAAGCAGCGCCTTGCTTTGCATTCGGGCCACTTGGTTTACTGTCAGTGCCACGTTCAGTACAATGTGAACCAACATAGGCTTACACCAATATGGACTCACATTCCAGTAAATACACACCTTGGACTTTGGCTCCGAGCCATTTCGAAGTACAATTCCCTTATTTCGCGGTCTCTTCGTACGCTGATCTTCGCCTACATGTGCATTGCGATAGAGTAAGTCAGCAATTTTAAGTACCCCCCTCTTTTGACGGGGCTGGATCACGATCCCAAGCTGTGATGATCCACCAAAACCGCCGTCTGTTGGCTTATAACGATGAGGCTATTCGGCATTGCGTTAAGGGCATCACGCGCGACAGTCATCATTCAGACCCTGTGGACAGGAAGCGGTTGGCACTCTGGGTCCGCTGCTTGCGGCTTCCGCCGACCAGCAGCCGTAGAATGAGCTACGTGGTAGCTGACGTTGGAGGTCCTCCACAGGCCGGAAGCGGCTGGCGCTGCTGGACCTGCTGCTGGCCTCCACCATTGACGGCCAGCCGCTGAGCGATGCCGACATCAGGGAGGAGGTCGACACGTTCATGTTCGAGGTGGGGGTGATCGTATCTACCGGCGGATTCATGCATGCTGTCGATCGTATGTGTGCTTGCCGCCCCTCCCCCTCCCGCCCCCGAAGATCGGGTATGTAGGAGGATGTGCAGGAAGGAAGCTGTCCTCCACGGACGTGGCGTTCTCGTCTTGAGGTTCTTCTGTGTGCATTCGCATTCTCAGCTCTACAAATGCATCGATAGCTTATCTACGTGAAAAGAGCACGTCTGGATCTCAACGCAATTTATTCAGTCTTACGTGCCGGACTGACGGCTTACCTGGACATGACGGCGCTGTTGCAACGTTACAACGTTACCCTTCACAACGTCTTGCACTTCGGAGGCCCTTACTCTTCGGCGCTGATCCGAGTCCCCGCGATCTCGGATACTGAGCAGCTCCGTTCTAAAGCAGCTCCGTTGAAGACGATTCCGTCTTGAGAAAGCGAGACAGCGTTGTCAAAAGACCGCCCCTGCCCGCCTCCAGGGTCACGACACAACTTCGGCCGGCGCCAACTGGACCCTCTACAACCTGGGCCGGCATCCCGCATACAGCAGAGAGGGCCTTCGAGGAGGTGGCGGGATGTCCTGGTGCCACGACCGACCGGTGAGAACTGTGAGAGCGTTCTCGGTCGGACGTCGCGCAGTGGCCTGTGAGAACATTAGAGAACCAGGTAATCAAATCGTTCTGTAACAGTCGGTGAGAACCGCGACCACCTTTGAGAGGATTGTGAAACAGCTGGAGAGAGCGTGTGCATTGTACTTGATGCTTAGTGAGAGCTTGAACGGGCCCATTATCTTTGGTGAGAGCACTCACAGATCGGGGGGGACCGGGATGGGCCGGGAGGAGCAGCAGGCAATCCGCTAGGTATCCGTTAAATTCTGAGGTGATATCGGGAGATGTTCTCGGGCTGTCATGTCAGTGAAAGGGTGTTCAGGCCCTGTAATTATCAGTGCATGGTGCAAGTTATCCGACAATCTAAGCAGAAATATAGAGCATATCATGATAAGGGGAAAATCAACACCCGGGTGATCTTGTATATCACAGCCCTTTTATTCCTGATTGCGACTTGGCGATATCGTTTGAATGCCTGGTACCAACCGACACGAGCGTACGATGACATTCAAATGAATGATAGGATTATCTTCTTTTTTCTCGGAAAAAAGTTGGCTAGATAATTCGTAGGAGCATCTGAATTTGTTGGAAGCATAGGCAAGTGCAGAAAAATTGCTCTGAAACAATTGCAATCACAGAAAATCCCTCGGTGACCTGTACGACCTCAGGTCGCGTGAGGCTGCCGCCGGCGAAGACACCGGAACACCACACACCACACACCAGAACACCACACATACCCGAACACCACAGTTTCACGCATCCTTGAGTGGCTGGTGCATCAGCAGCCTGTGTAAGCCACGGCTAGAGGGATTTAAAACGTTCTCCGATAATAATTAGAAGACCGCATGCGGCGTGAGGTGAGATCAATTGTCCTTGAGAACTGGGTCGATCCAGACACAGAACCCAAATGTAGGTCGTTTGTGTTTTGGTTGACTCGATGTAATCTGATGCATGCAGATCAATGTACAAAGTTTGGCGTGAGTCAACACAAATTTAATGTAATTAATAAAATTTGATTCGATTGATAAAATTTAATTTAATTAATGAAATTTAAGTTGATTAATAAAATTTAATTTTATTAACCAAATCTAATTTAATCAATAAAATTTAATTTAAATAATACAAGTTAATTTAATTAATAAAATGTAATATAATGCACACGTCCTTAATTCTGTCGGTGATCGGACATACCACTACCAAGCCTATCTGATCTTACATATACACGGTTTCCTTTCGGCGTGAAAGGAGGTGGCCATGAGTCAGGCCAAAGACCATGAAAACGGACAGGCAGGGTCATAGCAAAAGCAAACAGTTCTGTGCCCTGAAGCTATGTGACTGGTGACCACAAGGCTCCTTCATTCTAAAAGCCGTATTTGGTAGCCCAAAAAACTTCGATGTCCGCCGTGGGTCAGATCAACAATTAGTGGAGCACTTTGCTAACTAGGTTTGGTTATTTGTAAGTAGTCGCATGCTTTAAAGGTACGCTGCTACTGATTTTCACGAGGACTTCACCATTCAAATCTTCATAGTTGCCTTCGTTCATGCGATCCATTTTATCATATGTCAAGGGCA